CTTAACCTCACTATCATGTCATGAACATCTAAAACACACAAAAAAATCATACAAGGATAATGAAACAATAATACACTGTTAAATCTGAAGTGATCCCACTTCTGATATCATTTGTAACAAGATAACCGAGATGGATTTCCGGATTTACAACAGAACACTTTTGATGGTGATGCAGATACAATGCTTAATGTATGACTTGTATGAGAATTATGATTAATTTATGCATTTATAATATAAGATCCAAATATTGGACGAATTAACATAATATGCATAATATAGCTGGTACCACATCGCTCACTATAGATCACTCTGGTCAGCTGAAAAAACACCTGACAGTGTACTATGCATGCACTGGTATATAGGATAACACATAATGACATTATATACAGTAAGTTATACAAATTACATTATTGGTACATTACAAAACAACAGGTTAAGATGTGAACCTGTGCCCCAATAAGATTCCTATGGTGTTAAATGTTTCTAAATAAAATGCAACTTTATATTGCAAATATAAATCTCTTGCTAAGTCATAAACAAGAATAGAATAGAAAATATTTGTGTTATATTATGAAAGCCAAAGTTACATTGAAAACATACAAAAATAAACATGATAGTATGTACATAGCTATAACATACAATATACATAAGAAATAATATATATAAGTAATTAATAATTAACTTATATACTTTTACAGTTGCAAATGTGCAAGTCACTAAGTAGACTGCTTATTGACAACACATTACATAATGTGAAGATATCATCTTACAGTGGGCATTTACACACAGACAATGTGCCCCGTTTGTGCTGGTGAAAGTGAAAGAATTTGGTTTTTCCTATTGAAAGCACTTGACAGTGCAGCATAGAATGGACCGATCTCACTGTTTCAAAATGTTGTACAATATAACATAAATCACCCTTGGGTATCGTTGTACACAAACAACGAAACACAAGTACATGTATTTAATAAATAAATGGATTTATACAATTCTGTGACAGAAATGTTGTGTTAAAAGTTTGTTTATTGTGTGCTGCTCACTTGCCAATAATGAAACTTGTTAATTAGATATATCTGCTTTTATCATCTCTATTACAAGACCTTTAAAACCAAAGAAGGTAACTGTAACCTATATTATATGCTTACTAAAATTGGTTAAGTACATGGTCATGATTTATTCATACTGCACATGTATACATCAATATCTACTCTGAAGGCCTGTTCTGACCAATGCAGTTGCAAGTAGGAATAAATGGAGAGGTGTGAATTTTGATGTGACCTGTATAATCATTGATTACACTCTGATTACAAGCATTATTGCCCCTTTTTTGTTTTGTGCTTTAATTAACCATTAAGAATATCTTGCACATGCATTTTGTAAGTTTTCCATTGCTTGCTTTTTATACTTAGTAGGTTTTTAAATTATCACACAAAGAAGCACACTTTTATATGTTGAGGTCTGATAATTGATACAAGTTATGCTTCTTGAACTCGTGTGTGTGTGTGTGTGTGTATATATATATATATATATATATATATATATATATATATATATATATATATATATATATATATATATATATATATATATATATATATATATAATTAGTATTTGGTATACTCTAGTATTTAATTAGTGTTTGGCATAATTTAGTAATTTTTTATAGGCTTTTTAAGCAGTTCATAAAGATGCCTCTTTTTCACATTAAGGCTTAGACTTTGACCATGTTAGTGAAAACCATTTATCTTTTATTTATAATGTTTCCACTTTATTGGGATTGCAAGTTTTTCGAGCTGGAGCTGGAACATGTGAAATTTCGACAAGTGGTTGATGTCACAAAAGTATAAATATCAAGCCAATCAAAAACAGCCAGTATTTGTTAAAAACTTGCACACTTTATGCCAACTGGAACCAGTCAAATTACATAAAAATATTGAATATATAATGTTCATCAAAGGATGAACTATGCATGGAGTATGTTTCATTGCACTGCAACCTCAACATGGATAGTTTCTGTTTAACTAATATTTGTCATTTCTAGCAATTTAAAAGTGAGTTGCATATAAACTTTAATTACTAGTAATGAGGGACTTTAATACAGAGTAATACTAGTAGGAATATTTGCTGACAACTGTGGCACACTTCTGGTGCTCATGAGACTTAAGAAAGTACTCAAATGAGACTTAAAAAAGTACTCAATTGCTGGTTCCATGGTTCTAATAGAATGGTTCCATGTTTTGTATGCCCTCCACCCCACCAATATGCACACCACTACACAACTATCTAATCAGTATGCAGATTTTTGTAGTTACTGTTCTTTGATGCAGGCTTGCCAATTCTGGCTGGGCACCCACAGAAAACAAATACCATTATGTCTGTAATCTTTTTCAGGCCTGAAGACTTTGTCCTTCAGTCAGGTTTTAAAATGGCTGAAAGTCTTCTGTCAGAAAGTAAGAAAGCTGAGACAGGAGGTAAGAAATCTGAGACAGGAGGTAAGAAAGCTGAAAATATTCAGTCAGGAGGTAAGAAGGAGACTCCTAAGACAGGAAGTAAGAAAGCTGAAAATCTGCAGACAGGAACTAAGAAGGCTGAAAATCTTCAGACTGGAAGTAAGAAACCTGAAAGTCAGACAGAAAAACCAGACAGTAAGAAGACTGGCAAAAAACACTGATGTCTTTGAAAGAATTTGACATATTATTAGACCATAATAATAAAATTAGCTCAGTGTTTATTTTTTTTTATGTCTGAGTACATCAACACATTTAATGATGCTCATAGAATTTGTAATTACTTCACTTTAATTTGGTAGTAAATGCCACTAGAAAATCCAAACAAAGAAATTACTGACATAATCTTTTCTGTTGACAAAATATTTTTTTCAGACTGAAAATATTTAAGTATTGAATTAATTATTAAAATTTAATTTATTTCACAAGAAAGATATGATTTTTGCAAGCGTGCAGTTCTACATTTTTTTTAAAGATTCCAAATGATGTGATTTCTATTGACTTTGTGCTCTTCTGGACAAAATTCTCAATTACATATATAATCTATGTACAAGAGATTACTCTCTTTCTGAGTTTGCCTTTTTTTCCTTCACATTCTGTTGTTCTTCATTTGTTCATTGCTGTTCAAATGAAAGTGAAAACTGTTTTAATTATAGGATCTAAAACTTATATATTGGGAATTTTGAAGCCATAAAATCAATATAATAATAATAATAATAATAATAATAATAATAATAATAATAATAATAATAATAATAATAATAATAATAATAATGTGAACTTATTTCCTTTAACATCCAATGTAATAATGTAAATAAATTTTACTTTAATATTAAATTCTTCTTCTTCTAGAATTTTCAGATCACTCATATCTTACCTCAGTCTGCATGATTTCACATCTTGACTTTACCACCATGGGTATGTGAGAAAGCTTGCTAGTAGCTTCCTATGGGTCACTGGTTTTTCCTGGGGTCTTTCCAGGTTCTTCATCCACCAATTATACTGGCTGTCATGTATAACCTATCATGTGCTGAAATGGCTTTACACCTCCTGAATCCAAACCCTTTCATCTGCATTAGGACCCTTGTTCAAAATTCATTTTCGATTAGCCATTTTTCTAAGGGTCATTGTAGACTGAAGTAAATCAATGAAATTATGTGTTTTCTGATAAAATGCCATGTATAGCCAAACCTTGTACAGAAAAATGACATTCAACCCCACAAAACAGTATTATTATTGTTATCATTATTATTATTATTTTTATTATCATCATCATTATTATCATTGTTGTTGTCGTCATTCAGGGCAGATTATAAAGCAAAAATATGAAAATTGATTCTAAAACTTTTCATGAAATCACAGTAGAGTTCTGACAATGTACTAATGAGTAAATTTACAATGAGAAAGTATTAGTAAAATTCTAATGAGAAAGTATTAATAAAATTATGATGAGAAAGTACTAGTAAAGTTATAATGAGAAAGTATTAGTCAAATTACAGTGAGAAAGATTCAGTAAAATTATAATGAGAAAGTGTTACTTTTCACACATGTTGAGCTTATTATGTAGAAGGTATTTATTTAAGTCTGTAGTAGGCTACATTGGTTTGTTCAGGAGGATTAAATTTAACATGACACAAGATTTCATGATATGCCATAAGCCAGTTATAGATTAATGCAGACCTCAAAGACATCCTAGTCACAGCGATGCTAACACCAATCACAAGCCAAGACCACCATAGAAAATCTGGTCCTGTTGTGATAGAAGGTGCAAAACCTGTCAACATATGATAGAAACTAGAACATTTTAAGCTTAGCAATGAGTGAAAAATTTGAACATATATGGTCAACAGAATGTGCCAAACAAGGAATGTAATTTATCTCAACACATGTAAAATCTGTGCCCTTAAGTATGTCAGAGAAACTGAAAAACTACACAAAACGATCAACCTTAACAGATCTGAATGGATGGCAAAGAAGCTGGATAGAAGTCCAGCTGCCGAACAATTCTCTTCCTGTGGCCACAATTTAAATGATATAACACTAATTCCAACCCCAGCTGGAGTTCTGAAATCAGGAAAGAAAAGGAATCTTACTGGATATGCCAATTAGAATAATGAAACCAAGAAAACAAAGAGAGAAAAAATGCGGACAAACAAAATCATCATCTCTTTATAGCCAGCACATTTTTATTTTAAATAATTTGTTCATTTTTCTCAGTAGTCATTAATTCACCTATAATTACTACTATAACAATGTGATGTGATTATGATTTTATCATACCTTTAACAATTTTTCAGTCATATCGCTATGAAGTCTGCATTGTGGCAGTTTATAGTGATGTCAAGCACTGGGGCATAATGCCACAGACATGTAGCATAATGTCCCAACCAGTCATATTATCCTGACATCAGGCCAACTAGTCCTAACACTAACCTCCTAATGCTGATTGCCAAGTGAGGCAGCTGTTAGTACCATTTTTATAAGTCTTTGTTATGACTCGACTGGGGATTGAACCCTCGACCTCCCGCATCCGAGGCGGATGCTCTAGCCACTTGGCCACCCAGCGGTTCCTATAAAAATGATATATCTGGGATATAATTTAGAATTACATTAGTTATGTAAGAAACAGATGGCGATATGACTCATTGATGTTTAGGTAACCTAGTGTGCAACATCTGCAGCCAAGTTGAAGTCAAATAATCAGAACAATATTTTCAAGCTCAGATATCTTGGAAATGCTTAACTACTTGTATTTGGATGCAAATTATTTTATTTGTGATGCAGAAAATCACCCACACAGGAGTCCTCCATATGCATACTTTTGTTGCTAAGAAGAAAGTTTTGCAGTAAAATAAATACACTTTCAATACTATGAAAACTGAAGCAATGCTTTTATTTTAGTTTGTTGCTGACATCTTTGATCAAAGGTCGCAGGCTTGCTTTGATGAAGGTGCATGTGTTAATTGAAGGTGCTGCTAAAGGCGCCTTTTGAAGGACCAAACAAATACCCATTGCTGAGGCAACAGCAAATAATTATAGAACATTGAGACAAGTTTTTTTTTTAAATCTCCATAATATATTTCAGTGCTTCAGAGGTAATTTGTTTTCATTGAAGTTGCTGCAAAACTATTTTTTTTTTCTTTCTTTTGTTTTTAGTTAAATTGCTGTTGTGTGGTTGACTGTAGTCGTTTCATGTTTCAGCCCTCAGAGGTAGTCAATTGTAGCTAGTCAGTTGCATGGCTAATATGATTATATTACAGCATACATTATCAAGGCCAGATAGCAGCATAAGCAGATTATGATATAACAATGCATGTTATAGTGTTTTGTCAATATGAAATAAGGAGATGTTTAATAAGCTATTGATTCCAGTGCATTTTTATATCCAAGTTTGCGGTTTCCTGTCATGGTTCCTTTGAATTTCTCCACTCCAAACTCAAAACTGCATATGCCGTTTTTATCAGCCAAAAATATTGCCAGAGGGTATTTTTTGTTGCCAATATGTAAAACAAAACCCCCGCAACTTGAAATATTGGTGAAGCCCAACGAGATCACTGTTATTGATTTCATTTCCAGTTGTTGCTGTATAAATATTGCCTGCAAACTTGAAATGAAGAGAATTGGACAAAATGCCATTTGCAAATTTAGACAAGTATTTTGGATTTAAATGGAAAAATTATGGAGATTTAAAATGGTGCTAAAGTTGCTAGAACTGATAGTTAGGATGGGACAGTAACCAAGCGCAAGAAAGTATGCAATGCCTGGCTTAGTGGGGACTGCAACTTTTGCTGGTGGGACTCCTATTTTTACCAGATTAGGACTCCTTTAGTCATAGTTTTAAAATCCTAGTGAGACCTCTGCTAAGCTTTTATCAGCATAAATAAGAATGTAAACTTTTGTAATTTCAGCATTTTTTGTGTTTATTGTTTGTCATGTTTCTGTTTTGTGTTTGCCTTTTGAAAAACATTCATTTAGAGTCGAAAGTGCTGAGGCTAGCTAGAAACTAGTTCTTTGCCAGTCTGTTGCATAATAAAAAGTTTATGAATATGCATCCTTGGAGCACAGTGACGCATGAGAAATCCTTCAGATTAGTTTAAAGTTACACATGAAAAATGTACTCTGAGCAGTGTACCATTTTTAATTAAATGTTGATCTTTAATTGCTTATCTTGCCATAAGTCATGCCACCAGTAGAGATCTCATTTTCGGGTTCTCATCTACTTACACATCTGGGTTTATTGACTTGACATGAATGGTTGTTATACTTAATTTGATTGGAACATTAGGCATTGATCAAAAATTCAGTATTAACTTTAACCTTTATTCATTAAGAAGGTTCTAAACCTGCTTGTTTAAAATATTGGCTGTCTAAGAAAACCCAAATAGCTGACTCCCAGCATGGTTCATTTTCAGATGATGATTTTGTTTGGCAGAATGCTACCTGATGATAGCGATGATGACAGTAAGTTGTAACATTATTAAATATATCAGATTATTGTAGAAACTGAAAGTCAGGTGTAGTATGCTGGGTGGACAAAAACAGAGGGTATACCAGTAATCTCCCTATTCAGTGGTATTTCAGAATTAAAATAAAGAACAGGAATACCAGACCTTATTCAAATTTAGGTATTTTATTATAAAAAAAAAGCAGTACAGCACAATTTTCATTTCTTTTCTCAAACAATTCAGTCTTGTTGCACAAACTGTACGGCACTCTAAGGGTTAAGATAAATTTAAGAAGAATCTAAATAGTAATTAAAAAGTACATAGGGATATTATTTGATCAAAATACAACTATCAAAACCAGTACTGATGCAGTTTAAAACCCTAATGCAGCATTATGGACAAACCTGGCTTAGCAAAGCATTGAGTCAAGAAAGTAAATCTTAGAGTTAATGTTAGTGACAAATGTAATTTTGGGGCAGAGACATAAAAGAAACAATATCTATGAGATGTGAAAAATTGTACATAACAATCACAAAGAACAGTTTCCCTACTTGTTCAAACATTGCTAAGCTAGCTAGGCATATGCCCTTTCAGACTACAGACTGTGAAAGAGGATCTCAGCACATTTGTTGCTGTTGTTATTATAGGGTTTAAAACAATTTTTCAGCTCAAGATAGGCTGTACATTGTGGCCAGTATAAATGGTGGAGGATTAACCAAGGAAAAAACAAGAAAAAGAACCATCAAACCCACGAGAACCTACCGGCAAGCCATCTCACATACCCACATTGGCTGAGCCCGAGACTCAAAACCCATGCAGACAGAGCCGAGATGGCAGTGATCCGGAATGGCAAGCACTTTAAATCACTTTGGCCGCATTGAGCTTGGATCTCCCAACAGAATTATATGCGTAGAAGGGACAAATTAAGTTCAGAAACAATCTACAGATTAATCCTTATTTAACCAGAGTTAACATGTTTTGATAATTTTGATTTAAACAGCACTCTTACAGGGTTGAGCAGAAAGAGAGATGTCAGATGTTAGGTATATATTAAATTATCAGTTTCCTCTCTCCTATTCCCCCCCCCCTTCGTTTTTGTCAGCCTTATTTGGTGACAAATGGGAGCTCACACTTTTAGATAAAATCCTGGTAGCATTTCAGGTTGTTTATTGGATCTGGAGTCAGCTGTGTCAGACATAATGGATCAAATGGTTTCCCTTCCAGGTTGTTGGTTCCTCACATGTTCTTTGCAGTTTGTTACCTCAAGAGCTATGAGAAACAACTAAAGATAAACATTTTGCTTATTTTCTAATGTTATTTGTTTTCTGTAGGTCATTGGAGTTGTTAACCTCATAAGGCACATTAAAGGGGACATGATTTCTCACCAAGGATGATGGTTTCTTACAGATTCTTTTGAGTCCCACACCTCATAAATTCCACTTTAAAAACATCTATGCTGGAAAGAGTACTTTGTGCAAGTTATTAGAGAGAAATGTTTTACATCTTATTAAAATATATAAAGTTTGAATATTTTTTTATTTGGCTACAGCTGGTTCAGTGATACCATCACTTTTGTGAGGTTTTTTCCCTCATTTATTTGACCATATCCACCACCTAGTGGGTTATTTTTGCAGGGATATTATAGGTGTTCTACTTTGGTTCCCCTCCCAAGAGAGGTCAACTCTTTTACAGGGCTTCCTTCCCAGATGCCAGCATGAAACATTTTTATAATTTTGTGCCTATTTAGAGAGGCCACCATTTTAATAAGGTCACATTTTATTACAGAAGGTTGACCTTATCAATGGGGAAAGGGGCCACATTTTTTTTCAAACTCGTTAAGTGGAGATTAAACTGGCAGTGACTGTGCATACTGAGATGGAGGTGTGTTATACTAAAATGGTGTTTTCCAGGACCTACTTTCTAGGATGTATTTAGATTTGCTTAAACACAAATCATGCCCGGTTTCTAATTCCAACACCATTTCACCTACTGCTATGAAAGATGTGGTTTGGTGCATATTGGATGACTATCATGCATGAAATTGGGTCACACTGACCTTTTTCCAAGGCTTATTTAAAACTTGTTTTAGAAAAAGCTCTCGTCCATGGTTTTAACCCACTAACAGCTCACGCTTTCCAAATTCCCTGAAATTGCAGTTCATGAAAACTGTATAGCGCCTAGACGTAAACTGTGATAAATGTTGAGTGAAATATCCATTAAGTACCATTGTAATCCTGAGCACTATGTAAAATAAAAGATAAAACATTCGTGTACAATAAACATCATTTTAGCTTTCACGGTATCATAAATATTGAAAATTGAATTCTTCGCTAGCCATAGATTTCATGCTTCTGCAGTTCGAAGCTAGGTATTTTAACACAAATTAAAGTTATAAGTAATTACATTCAAAACTTAATATTAGAAGAACAGTGTATAACAGTAGATTAGGTTCTTAAGTACCTTGTCGAATACTTTTATTATACAAGTTTTTTTTTCTGTACTAAAAGCTTTTTTAAGGGAAACATTTCCGGATTTTATGAGACATCAATCAAACTCAATGCACGACTGTGTTCTGGCCTGGAGTTCATAAAACTTTTAGTCTTTATCAGTCATCCAATCAAAACTGGCATTTCAAAAGTAAAGTGATTTATGATGGTTTGTTTCAAAATCTCAATCTCAAATTTATGCTCAAGCGCTTTGTGAGCTTCAGACAAGGTGCCATTTTCACTGGCTGATATAAATGGAGCAATGTGAAAACAATTGTATCATAAATAATTAAAATCAGGTTGGTTTGATTGCAACTTTTTATTCATGCAGTCATTCCAATTTGCATCCCATAGACTGTAACTGCCTAGACATGAGAAGAAGTTATTCTGACAACCGGGACTTCTTTTGGCATCAATAATGTTGGGCTCACTGCATCTTTTTGTGCCATCGGTGTTTTGCTTGCTGCTTCTCTTTGCTTCATGACTTTCCTGTTCGGCATTTCTGGTTGATTCTGGTGTGCTGTCCTTGATGTTTCTTGTTCTTTGGGAGTTAGGCTTAAAGACTCTTGTTTTGTTGATCCTGCTTTGAAGTAGATTGAAGGTGAGTTTTACACAATTACTTGAGACAGGATACT